TTTAAACTGTTAACGTTTAATCCGCTGACACCCCCACTCCTATTCTAGGCAGGCCAAGTAAATAAACAAGTTGCCAAAAAAGAACTTCAGAGCTGGCCTGTGGCCTAGATGATGCAACCATGCCTCAGATCTCCCCTCCCTTGAGTAGCCTCTGACCTGAATTTGGATTCATGTAAACACAGACACACATATGACTGGTCCACTCTGGGCAACAGTTTAGTTTTTTTTTTTTTTTTTTTATTAGATGAGCAAGAAAGAAATGTAAATGACAAGACATATAAGACATTCCATTCTCTTGCCTCTGCTTTCTTGTTACATGTTAGGTAAGACCATCCACTCTTAGGAAAATATTGCTAGAGTGTCAGATCCGTAAATGAGTGATTGGGGTCATTTACTTTCTAGGGTACTAGGAAAAGCACTGGGCATTTCTGTGAGCTGGGCATGGTCCTGGATAGTTTTGATTATTTAACTGGAAAGCTATTAAGAAAAACATCCTTTTAAGCCACAACCAGGCTTGGCTGTCATGGGACCAGAAAGCCATGTCTTTGCATTTCCGGCTTTCTGTTGCTGGCTGATGACTGTCTACCTGTGCTGCTTTTTAGCAGCAGCAGGAGAGCCCTGCCTCTAATGGGCCTCGTGACCAGGTTCTTCGGTAATCAAAATGGACATGTCTGAGGACATGAGGCACAGGTTTTCCTAGCTGTCACTTAGTTCCTCCCCATCTGCCCCCACTGGAACCTCACACCATAGACACATGGTCCAGCTTACAAACATCAGGCTTAAAACCTGAACCTATCTGATAGACCACAAACCTGGCAGATACCTGCATGATCAGAATACAGAATAACGAAGAGAGCTGATGGTAGTTTAATGGAGCTTCAGCACTTGTCCTTCCTGTTACTACCCCACAACTATAAAAACAGAAAAAATAAATCCAGTATGAAGCATACTAACAGTTTCATGATGCCATCCTTTTTAGGTCTTCAAGGGGAAGAGTAAATCAGTCTTTTCTAAAGTACCAATGGTATTTTGAAGTATATAAGAAGTCATTTGCGGGTAGGAGAGATGGCTCAGAGGTTAAGAGCACTGGACTGCTGTTCCAGAGGTCCTGAGTTCAATTCCCAACTACCACATGGTGGCTTACAACTGTCTATCATAAGATCTGGTGCCCTCTTCTGATGTGCAGGCAAATATGCAGACAGAACACTGTATATGTAATAAAAATAAGTAAATAAAATATATATTGAAGTCCTTTGCATTTCAGAGGACTGGCCCGTAGCCTGTGCCCTCAGGCTCTCATTAAGACTGTAATCAGTTCAGAAGTTACTACAGAAATGTGTTACTAAGAGGCCCCCACATCAAGCTCTCTCTAATAGGCAGCTGCCACTTCCAGTTAAGTGCCCAGTCCTGCTTCTGGGTAACTGTAGCTACAGGATGCTGGGATCACAACTCTAACTCTTTGAGAGGTCTGGCAAAACAAAACAAAACAAAAAACTGTTAAGAAGTATAAGGTCCAGGAGGGGAAATGGAATTTCTGAGAAACTGAGTGGGATTTTCTGAGGATGCTGCTCTCCTGGTTTCCTAAGCTATACAGCCTGGCAGAGCCTCAGATGGCCACAGAAGTTCAGCCTGGCCTCATACCTATTTTTGATCCACCTGCTACCACCTCCCTAGTCTTGAGGTTATAGAGACTTTCCACCATGGCTGGCTCTTTCTTCTTAGCTCTTCTAAACAGGAAGGTCCCAGTGTAGGACTTTGGGGTCAGCAAGAATCCACTGGACCCCATTCACTTGTGGTTAGCCTACAAGTACTAAAGTTTCTACTGAACACATCATGGACTAAGACTAGAAGAAAGAAGCTGAAGTCAGGATTTTTATGTTTCCAGCTTCCCTTCTCTGCAAAGTCACCTCAGGCTGTGTCCCTCTGACCTTTGAAGGTATCTTTCTCTACAGGAGTCTCAACTTTCAGGCTATGGTAAATGCTCTCTCTCTTGGAGCTTATGAACTATTTATTGTCAAGCAGCCTAGTCAAGGAAGGTTCACCTTTGTACATATTTCACGTCTAAAATCCTTTTAAAAAAAGATCTTTAAAATTTATTTATTTATTTATTTATTTATTTATTATGAATAAAGTGTTCTGCCTGCTTATATGCCTGCACACCAGAAGAAAGGGCACCAGATCTCATTACAGATGGCTGTGAGCCACCATGTGGTTGCTGGGAATTGAACTCAGGACCTCTGGAAGAGCAGTCCAGTGCTCTTAACCTCTGAGCCATCTCTCCAGAACCCTTAAAATCCTTTTAAAATAAGCCCAACCTGAGCAAGCTGTTTCCTGTTGAGACCCTCAGGAATGAAGAAGGTATTCTATTACTTGCTACCAAAAGCAGCCTATGTGATAACCCTACCATGGACATCATGACAAAGGCCAGGAACACTTCCACTCCAGTACTCCAGTTTCTGGGGAGTTAGTGTGCTTGTGATGTTGAAAGGCAGGTTGACGTCAATGAAGAGGGAAGAAATAACATATATGAACATATACTTTTTGGGTAACTACAGAGATAGGAGATGAGAGACAACCTTTAATATGTAGTGGAATAAAAAATGAAAAGAATGAATCAAGCACTTGGGAGATAAGACAGGAGGATTAGGTGCTGGAGCTAGCCTGTGGTATATGATAGCCTGTCTTTGAAAAAAAAAAAAAAGAAAGTGTTATTTTGTGAAAAAGAAAATAAACTCAGGTTGTCAGCCTTGAGTAACAAGTACTTCAACTGCTAAGCCATCTCACTTGCCCTGTATTATTTCTTTTCTTTTCTTTTTGGTTTTTCTGAGACAGGGTTTCTCTGTGTATCCCTGGCTGTCCTGGACTCACTCTGTAGATCAGGCTGGTCTCAACCTCAGAGATCTGCCTGCTTCTGTCTCCCAAGTGCTGGGATTTAAAGGTGTGTGCCATCACTGCCTAGCTCAGAGTGAACATTTATTCCAAAGTCTACAAGGGAGACAGACATCTTGATTTTTTTTTTTTTTTTTTTTTTTTTTTTTTTGAGACAGGGTCTGTCTATGTAGGCCTGGCTGTCCTGGAATTTGATAATGTAAACCAGGTTAGTCTTGAATCTACAGAGACCTGCCTGCCTCCAAGTGCTGGAGTTGAAGGCATGAACCACCTCTCTCAACTTCATTTTGATGTTTTAATTTTATAGATGAGGGTCAGGCGAGGACTAGAAACATGAAGTAACTTCTGAAGGCTGCAGCAAAAGAGTGAACCAGGAATAGAAAACAGATCTAATGATGCAAATTCTGTGTTTTTTCTCTCTTGAGTTTGCCCTCCCTTTATGAATCAAGCTCAGGAAGTCAGGATGGGACAGAAAAAGAAAGGAAAAGGGAAGAGGAAGTGTGATGTTTTTGGTTTATGCTGCCCTTCATATCCTCATTTAAGATTTTTCTGAAATTCCTTTAACATCTAAGAAAAACCACATACGGAAGGTGGGGGGGGGTATAATGGGGGAGGGGAACCAATCCAACAGCTTGCAGTAGCCTGGGATTCCAGAATAAATACTGAAGTTGGCAGAACATGCAGTATCCTTCCTCTCAGTAGGTCACATGAGGACATTGCCTAATATCCGTTATGTGTGCTGTGTGTGTCTGGGAACATATAATATTTATGTTCTCCTCAAATGCTTAGGTACCCTTTTCTTGTTCCAAAAAGATTTTCTGTGTTCTGCCTTCTGATTTAATCTAAAAGTGTCATGGAAAACTGGTCCTAAAGACCTAGAACTTCTTACAAACAGAGGAGGACTGAGTATTCTCCCAGACAAAGGCTCAGATGAGTTCTTTCCAAATGCTGAGTAAATGGGAGGGGTTTGTAGTGGAAACCATAATGTTATGTTGTGGTCACAGTTTTCACAATTCTTTGGGGGTTGGGAGGGTGGCCCCTCTGCCTGGATAGGCTGGAAGGCTATTAACATTCTCTTCTGTGGAAATGTAGCCCAGATTTGAGAGTCAAGATCAAGTCATGAGACTCGCTGGAGTCAAACCCTGGCATCAGCTGCAAGTGTTTTTAGACAGCTGTGCCATCACCCTAAAAACACAGCCTAGAACATGCTCACAGGGAAAACAAAACAAACCTATCAAGTCAGAGAATTTCAGCATGTGACAACTCAATAAAGTGATCCTCAGGTCATTTCGTATCTGATGCAAGAGTAGATGAAGGTGATTTTTAACCCTTAAAGGAAGCAAAATTACTCATTTTAATAACCAACTACCAAATTACTATTGAAAACAGATGTCTCTCATTGATACAGGAAATGACTGAATAGTAGTGGGTAGAAGGGCAGGCTGAAAAATAGTTTTGTGGAAAAGTATCAAAATGTATAATAAAGCAAAACCTAGAAAAATAGGCAAGGCAATCTTGACTATTATTTGTGGCTATCAAATCTAAGATGTTTTCTCCCTTTGTAACATTTTTTGAGTTTCACACAGCATATATGTAAAATTTGATTAAAGATTTGTATTTTTTTTTTTTTTTAAAGAGTGAGCTGTTTCTGGGTATAACCCTCAAATGGGGTAGTGCATAGGTTGGTACATGACCACAATTACTAGAGAGCTCAGTAAAACTAAATACTAAAAAAAATAACAGCAGGTGTTTTTTTCTTCAAGAATTTTAGGGAACACCAATAGCACCTTAGGAACACCCCTATCCATCTTGACGGGGCTGTAGCCAGCATCATAAAAAACTGAAGGTGTTAAATGTGCACCTAATTGAAAACTGAAATATGGCTCTAATTTTTCTCTTAGGTTATATCTATAAAATACCTGAAAGATTACCTGCCTAATCTTCCATGCTAATCTTAAAATCATATTTTGAAAAAATTTAGAGAAAGGAATCCAAGTTAAAAATTATCACATCCAAGTTAGGCTAAGGACTGGCTGCAGAAAATGACTTCTTAGCTTGCCTTATGGAAGTATAAAGGAATGAGAGTCAGAAAAAGGCACTTGAGGATTCACCTTGCCAGCAAGATCCCTTGGTATTCTTCCAGTTGTCTCATGAAGCTGGGGTTAGGCTTGGTCACTGTTCGTCTTTCTTTCACGTAGTCATAGGCTCGATCCAGATTCCAGCCATATTCCTTCATTGCATAGGCAATCACAGTGGAGGCCGAGCGACTCACCCCCATCTTGCAGTGCACAAGGCATTTAGATCCATGTTTCCTAGTTGGGAGATTAAGATGAAAAAAACAGGATAGTAGATAGCTGGGTTTTAGGTTCCTGTATTGTTTCCCACCCTCCTTATTTTGCGTTCTTCTTAGTACACCCACGTGCCTCTCTGATCAAATATGAGGGTAAAGTAGGCAGGTTTAACTGTACTTTTAAATAATTTTTGTTTTTCTCAAGACAAGGTTTCTATGTGTAGTCCTGGCTATCCTGGACTGAACTCTGTAGACCAGGCTGGCCTCAAACTCAGAGATCTAGCTGGCCTCAAACTCAGAGATCAGCCTCCCCAGTCCTGGGATTAAAGGAGTGTGCCACCACTGTCCAACTCTTTTCTTTTTTTTTTTTTTTGTTTTTCTTTTTCAATTTTAATATTAACCCTCTTAATCTACTCAGTAAAGATTTACCAAGTATTTATCATATATAATATGTTCAAGGTGCTAGGCTTAAGCAACACACAGCTTTTATCCTAAAGGATAGGACTGAGTTCCAGAAACAGATCATTAAAATTCAATGTGTTAGTGTACTGAAGGTCACAAAGTGGAGAGGGGAACTTAGCTCTTAGAGGGGGAGCTCATTTCCTGTGTGGTGGAGGCCAGTTCCCTCACAGCCCTCAGGCATGTCTCCTGGCTGGCTTTCTCCTGAGTTACAGGTGTGGTAATGACTCATCTGATTTATTCTAATAGAGTTGTTTCTAGTTAAGTTCCCAGGAAGGGCTCTGTCCCTGGAGGAAAACATACACGAAGGCGACTTTTCTTCTCTATTCAGACACAACTGTAGATAGCACCTTTCACACACCGCCATAATGAAGACAGAGGAAAGCATGTGATGTATCACGAGGTTTTCTCAGTGATGAAGTGGAATGAATGAGAGCTACCTGTTTGCTTTTTTGCATGCTTTGAACTAAATGCAGGGTTCCACACATACAAAGGACAAGCTTTATCATTGATCTACACCTCAGGTTCTTGTGGGATTTTAATGCAAGGGAAGGAAGAGAAAAAACAATGCTACCACAAAGCAAACAAAATACATCAGTCTTAACAGGCCAAAGCTAATTATCTTGGATATGAACATTATTCAGTTATGCTCTAATACTAACAAGATAGTGTTACAGCACACAGGAAGTCTTCAAGGTTCTGTTAAATGCATGAATAAATTATGGATGGGCTGATCACATCTTCCAGCTGTTGAAGAAGGACTATTTTAAAACCTAGAGAAAAACAACTGCTACTCTTATGGATACTGCTCATAGATTCCAGAATCCTTTCAAGTAACTGTTTCAATAAATCAAAACATGTACATGTGAACACAGAAGACAAGCTATTCATTTGCTTACTGACTCTATTGATGGTTGGCAAGCTTTCTTCAGAAGTTTATAATCCTGCTTTTCTGGAGACAGAATCTACATGAATGAGTGAGGAATTACCAGTGCAAGCCAGCTTGAGGTGACCTGCCCAAACAAGTGAGCAGATAAGCTACAAGAATGCAAAGTATGGAATGTAACAATTTTCCTTAATTTAAAAACTCCATTTATTTATTTGAGTGTGTGTGGGTGGGCAGGCATCTGAGTGTGATGGTGCATGGGTGGAGGTCATAGGATGACTTGGAGGAGTGAGCTCTTTCAGCTTCTACCGTGAGTGTGTTCTGGGGATTAAACTTAGGTCACCAGGTTTGGCAACACTGAGCAATCTTGCTGGTCCTCACTATAGAGTTTTTATTAGACTACAGTTTGGAAGATAATGCACAGTGATTCGGAAGAAAATTTAGATTTGTGCTCTACATTTTCCAGTTGAACTCTAACAACTTTAAACATCAAATTTTAGGCCTTTGTTTGTGGGCATGGAATGTGCTTAAACTTGGACAAGCCTAAGTAAAATAAAATTCATTCTCTATGAAAGCACCTCTTTCACATCTCTCTCTTTCTTTTTTTTTTTTTGGTTTTTCAAGACAGGGTTTCTTTGTGTAGCCCTGGATGTCCTGGAACTCACTCTGTAGACCAGGCTGGCTTTGAACTCAGAGATTGGTCTGCCTCTGCCTTCCAAGTGTTGGAAATAAAGGTGTGTGCTACCATGCCTTGATTCTCTGTGGTGATATATTATTTATGATTTATTAAAGCTTGCCTGAGAGTACAGAAAGCAAGCCATAGAGCTAGGTGGTGGTGGCACACACCTTTAATCCCAAGACTGAGGAGACAGGCAGATGGATCTCTATTAGTGCAAGGCCACACTGAGCTACTTGAAATTGATCCAGTCCTGAAGAGAAACAGCTCACACAAAGGTGATCTTAGCACCTGGATCACACACCTTTAATCCCAGCACTAGAAAGCCATAAAAGGAGGAACCAATGGGTCTCATGAGAGATTTATTCTCCAGTCACACTGAGGATAGGATAACCACTTCTGTCAAAGGTAAGAGCTAGTGGCTGGCTGCTTTGCTTTTCTGATCTTCAGCTTGAAGCTTGACCCCAATATCTGTCTCTGGGTCTTAAATTCGTGTCACACTTCTCTGGCATTTTTCCACTGGGATTTTGAGGTGCACAGCTTCTAAGTTATTTAACAAGGATCTAAGTTAGTTAGGTTTCATCTAACCCACACTTCAATCTTGCACCTCAATCCCAGTGTGGGATGGTCTAGATTAAGTCTGGCATCATCATATTAGCAGTAGGGCCTTATACAAGGAGATATAGAAGGAGGAGAAATTTGTGAACAACTGTATCCATTTATGACCTTGGTGTTTGTGAAGACTTATTTGATTGTCAGCTTGGCTACACATGGGAATTATCTAAAACTGGAAAATGGCTGAGCACACCTATGAGAGATTTTTGTTTAATTAAATCATTTAAAGTGGGAAGATTCATGGCTAATTGGGATCTTCGAGGTGGAAAGACACACCTGTAATCTGGGCCTGCCTTCTGCTGGAGGCCTATATGAAGGACATGGAAGAAGGAAGCCTCACTCTTTGCCTGCTTCCTCCTGCCCTCGCTATCAAGTCCATTCCTTCACTGGCATTAGAGCCTATTTCTTTGGGATTCCAGGGTATCCTGAAGACCAGCTGAGACATCAGCCTTATGGACTGAACAACTACTCGATTCCTGGACTTTCTGTTTATAGGCAGCCACTTTTGGGTTAGCTGGACTGTAGCCTGTAAGTCATTAGAATATATATTCACCCTATAAGTTCTGTTACTCCAGAGAATTCTGACTAATGCAGATTTTGGTGCCAAAAGTGGCTCTAGGGCAACTGAAGTATAAAGATGAATTTTTTTTTAAACATTTGGAATAGGCTTTCCAATTTGCCAGTCCCTATAGTTATCAAAGCCTGTCCTGTTACTGCAGCCTTTCCTGAGAGCTTGTAGAATACTTAAAAGCCCATGGTGTGAACTATTTACAAAATTAAGGCAACAAGTGCATTTGGTTATCCTGATTCACCAATTGTCAAAGGCAATGGATTTGGTGACCGTTAAGGGGAATGTAGAGTAATTTCTGAAGGAAGTTAATAAAAGGTGTTTCTCATTTACTAAAGATTGTTTGAATGCTGTTCTTTCTGAAGAGGCTTGTGGTCAAGTAGCTCATTTATGATTCATTCTTCCTAGTGAAAAGATGAATAAAAGGAAGTCCTCAGAGCTTTAAAAGCCAATTAATTTGAAGATGACATCACCAAAGGCAAGAGAGAAACCTCAGCATTTAGACTATCCACAATAAAACTGGGAAGATTTCCAAAGCTCACTGTTTCTTTCTGTATGCTCAGAAAGGCCTGGTATAGTTTTTGCTATACAACTTACAAATATCTCCAGTGCCAATTTAATTCAGAGCCTGGCATGGTGGATAGTACATGCTTTTAATCTCAGAACTTGGGAAGCAGACAGATTTCTGTGAGTTTGAGGACAGCCTGGTCTTCTTAGAGTTCCAGGCTATTTAGGACTACACAATGAGACCTTGTCTCAAAAATTCGTTTTTTCTCCCATTTCTCATTTTTATTTCTTTTTCTTTTAAGATTTTCTCATTTATTTTATGCATATGAGTGTTCTATCTGCATATATACCTGCAGGCCAGAAGAAGGCATCAGATGCCATTATCGATGGTTGTGAGCCATCAGGTAGTCGCTGGGAATTGAACTCAGGTCTTCTGGAAGAGCAGTTAATGCTCTTAATCACTGATCCATCTCTCCAGCCCCTCACTTTTCTTCTTTCTTTTCTTTTCTTTTTTTTTTTCGAGACAGGGTTTCTCTGTATTGCTTTGGAGCCTGTCCTGGAATTCACTCTGAAGACCAGACTGGCCTCGAACTCACAGAGATCCCCCTGCCTCTGCCTCCTGAGTGTTGAGATTAAAGGCGTGTGCCACCATTGCCTGGCCACTTTTATTTCTTTAGTTGCAGCATAATTCCATTTTTTTTAAAAAAATTTGTGCTAAGTGCAAAATGAGGCTATATAAAGTTATCTTATTCTAAGGGATTTCATTTGCTTAAAGGGAAAGTGTTAGGTCACTGATCTTTTGTCTTGGATCATGAACTCTCAGTGCCTTTCCTCCTTTAAATCCTTTTCTCTAAGTACTATCAGTACATGGCAGCCTCTCATTCCCAGCCATGTTTGCACTATGAAGAGGAAGCAGAATGTAGTAAGAGACAAAACTCACTTTGCTTTAGAGATGAATTTGTAAGTGTCATTCCAGTAAGCCAGGAGATCCGTTGCCTCTTCATCATACACTCGGATGTTATGATACTCAAAGACTCCGGGGAAGAAGTTGTCTATCTCTCGAGTGACATTCAAGATGTACCGCACCCTGTGAAGAAACCAAAGGAGGGCAGGGCGTATATTTTTTTTTCTCAGGCAAAAATGAGTTCCCAGCACCATATCTGCCATGTTCAATACCTAAATTCAATTTCACCTTATGTATGGTTACACAATCTCATCTCTGACAGTATTTTGGAAATAGCCCACATATCTGTATCGACTAAAATCAACCTAAGACCCACAACCTAGCAATTTTTATTGCTAAAATTACCAACAATAAAATTTTATTTGGAAGTTGTTTGTATAAAACCAAATGACTGACATACTCCAAGAAAAAAGAGAAAAGGAAGATTTTCTTTACTTTTCTGAATGCCAGATTGTTAGGCAAGAAACTGAGGGTGTGTGGAAAGCTGGACCTAAAATTCCCAAGTCTATCCAGCTGCATTCCTGCTAAGAGTTCTCACATGCTGAGTTGCTACCAGAAAAGCATTTCTCTATTAAAACTTTCCCATCATCTCTCTCCCTGCATCATCTTAATTAATGTGTGGGTTTAATTTATCAAAGGCCCTTTTTTCTTCAATGTTGTATAGACTTTAACATCATTGGAGTTTACTCCAGCAACACAGGCTCAGCTCAGTCTTTCTACAAAACTGTTTCCTTCAAATAACCAACCATATGTGGTACTCCACAAACTCAGCTTCTGAAGAAGTTAGGCAAATAAAAAGACTACAGGAAGAGATATAATCAATATAATCACTCTATCTGGTCAATACCAAATGGGCCAATATTTCTGACACATGAATTGAATTCATTTTAATGTAGCACTAAAGCCTAGTAATAGAAATGATTTTCTTTTAAATTAAAAAACTAAAATTAAAAAATTTCACATTCCATATAGTAGGAATGTGAAACAGTGCAACTGCTGTGGAAAATAGCTTAGTAATTACCAAGAAGGCCAAACAGGGAGTTACTACACAAGTATTAGTCCACTCCACAATCTGCATATAGGTGGTCACAGCATCGTTATTCATGATAGCCAAAAAGTGGCTGCCAGTTGATGACATTAGTGGCTTCTAGAGATAGGGGAAGAAGGGAAATATGACCAAGGAAACATATGTGGTCTCTTTCTAGTTTGAAAAAATGTTCTTAATTAACTAGGTAGTTTGCATAGCTTAGAAACATTCATTAAAACCCACAGAATTGTACATTTTAACTGTGTTAATTATATCACATTATGAGTTACATTCAACAAAATGATTAGAAGAAAAAGCAAGAACACTTATTTTTATTTATTTATTTATTTATTTATTTATTTATTTATTTTTGAGAGAAGTCTCTATGTGTAGCTGGGGCTTCCCTGGAACCCTATTTAGACCAGGCTGACCGAAAATTCAGATATTCACTTGTTTCTTCTCCTGCATGCTGGGGTTAAGGGCATAAGTCACCATGCCTGGCTCACTGATTTTATTTAAAATAAAAGTGAGGATCTGGAGAGGTGGCTCAGAGGTTTAGAGTGCTTGCTGTTCTTCAGAGGACTAGAGCTCAGTTCTCAGCACCCATGATATGAAATTCACAACTAGCCATGATTCTTAGTTCCAGGGGGTTAGATGCTCTCTTTTGCCTCCTCTTAAGACTCTCACAAGTGAGTCATGTGGGCACATGCACACACACACACACACACACACACACACACACACGCACGCACGCACGCACGCACACACACACACACACACACACACACACACACACACACACACAAACACCCCAACCAATATCTTGCTTCTAATCCATACATCAGTAATGGATTATGACATCATCTCTATAGAGACAGTACACAGCTTCCTAATTCTTTTCATTTTAGAGTTGAAAATACCCACTGCTGACTGGTACTGTAAATCTTTGAAATTTCTTTGCTGTACCAGCAATTCTCTGACTTTATGTGGAGTAACTCTTGGAATTAGTTTCTAAAGTCAGCAGACTATCTGGAAATGACCTTAATATCAAAATTGCACTTTGAGTTTGGTGGTGGTGGTGCATGCCCTTAATTCCAGCACTGAGGAGGGGAGGGAGAGGGAAGCCCTGTCAATGCCATATTGAGAGCTTTTTTAAAAAACTACAAAAGGCTGGGTGGTGGTGGAGCATGCCTTTAATCCCAGCACTCGGGAGGCAGAAGCAGGCAGATCTCTGTCCTGGAACTCTCTCTGTAGACTAGGCTGGCCTCAAACTCACTGAGATTCACCTGCCTCTGCTTCCTGAGTTCTGGCACTAAAGGTGTGTACCACCACTGCCCTGAAAATTTACCTAGTTTTAAGAGGGCAAATGAAAGACACAGGATGGGAGTCTAGGTCTTTGAATTCTCACTCCAGTTTATTAGTTGATTTCCTCCCTTCATCTGTCATTAGGCAAATGACAGTTCCCACATGTATTTGAATTTTTTTTTATCATTCATTCACACTGAACATCACCAGTGTGAAGCTTTGAGCTTGGAAGATATAAATGCAAGAGATGAACATATAGTCTCTAACTTTAAAAGTCTCTAAATTTAAAAGTTAATTACTAATGAACATTTTCCAAGTTATTTTTATATCTTCAACTAAGCACCTAGGTTTTCACACCTGGGATTTTTTTTGTATGAAAACTATAAGTTCATTTTAGCAATTATAAAACACCTTTCTTGTCAGGGAGAGAGGAAAGTAGGGAGTGTGTACCTCAGATTCTCAGTCTATCATGGCAATCAGAAATGATTCATTCCTTTCCTCCTCTAGTTTAGGCAAGCTCTATCATTTAACTAAATTTCTAGCAACTACATTTGACTCTTAAAGAGAACCAAACACTTGGGAATTTGTTTTCCAAAGCCATTCCATTAATACAATTGATCTTTCTTGGGAGGGAAGAGGATCAAATGGTTGAGAGAATAACTGTTAACTTTTGTAAGATTATAGTTGAGAATTGAAAGCAACTCTAAGGATTAAAGTTTACCCATCAACACTTCTTTGACAGGAAAATATAAAGAGTAAACAGGGACTTCAGTCATACAGAGGTGTCAGCAATTGCTCTGTGTGCTCACCCTCGATTCTGTAAGTCCTCTAAGTTTGAGGCATTCCATTCTGAGCCCTGTGGAGACAAAGACATGGTTAGCGAGTATTATCAAATAAACTAAACAGGGAGGATATCTGGAAAGGAGCACTGTGGGGAAACAGTTTCTGACAAGTGACTCAACAGCATCTACTCAATGCCTCTAAGTAGCAGGAACTTTCTAACACCTAGTTTTTATTAATGATAATGCAAAAAGTTATGAGTGGTGCGTGTGTGCTCACATGTGAACAGACCAGCGCCACAGTATCAGGTGGAGATTAGAGACGACTTGCAGGAGTTGGTTCTTGTCTCCCACCACATGTGTTGTGGGTGTCAAATTCAGATTGTCAGGCTTGGGGTCAAGTGTCTTTACCCACTGAGCCATATTGCTGACTTGAGATCTTGAACTTCAAAACCTAAATACTAAACTGTTTTCATCTCTTATGGGTTGGGATTAAAGGGGTGCACCAGTAAATCCAGTTTATATGGTGCTATGTTCAGGTCAGGCAAGGATTCTACCAGCTGAGCTCCATCTCTTGCCCTAATTTGTTTTTTTTTAGAACTGTACTTTATTGTGTGTGTACATAAGCGTTGGTGTGGGTGCATGCATGCCTCGATGTGCATGTGGAGGTCAGAGGAGAATCTGAAAGAGCCTTTCTCTTCCTCTCCCATGTGGGTTCCAGTGACTGACCTCAGGTTGTTAGGTATGGTGGTAAGGGCCTTTACCTGATGAGCCACCTTGCCAGCCCCCGACTTTTGCTTTTTGTCTTTTTTTTTTTTTTTGAGACAGAGTTTCTCTGTGTAACAGCTCTGGCTGTCCTGGAACTCACAGAGATCTGTCTGCCTCACCAGTGCTGGGATTAAAGGTGTGTGCCACCAGTTTATGGCAGATACTTAAGTTTCAGGATCAAAAATCATAAATGTGACAACAGTAGTTCACTTAATGACTGTCTCGCTCAATAGTACACTATTTCTCTGTACTATCATAAGTATAACCAGCTTGTGGCTGAATTTTTATTTGATTATTTTTAATTTTTTAAAATTGTACATTGGTGTTTTGGAACTGGAGTTACAGAGTTGTGAGCTGCCATGTGGGAGCTGGGAATTGAACCTGGGTCCTCTGGAAGAACATTCAGTGCTCATGACTGCTAAGCCATCCCTCTAGCCCCTAAATTTTTATTTGAAAACACTCTTCTAGAAAGGATCTGTAATGTCAAATCTTGAAAAAGATAATCAGTAGTAAAAATCTTGCCACTTTATTCATAAGCAAAATCACTCTGTATCTAATACTCTCATGTTTCCCTTGCTATGCTAAAAGACCCTGCTTTTTTGCAAAAGGTCTCTATTCACGCATAGGCTTTTCTTAGCCAAGTCAGACAGCCTCCAGGAGAGCTAGAGCTGTTGATACTAAACTTTGATTGGGCAAAGGCTTCCAGCTCAGATAAATTATACAATCTTACGAGGATTTAGACGAATCTTTTTTCGTAATAATAACCTGGCTTCCCACCAGTCAACCTTTCCTTCTTACCGAAGATTTTCTTTGAACCATGTTCTAAACATTCCTTCTCCGGATCAGCTGATACCTTTCTGAATAAACAGATCTCAGTAAAGTACAATGCAGAGCTGAACACTCCTCCAGAGGTAGGGGACTTGCTGCCTCTCTTCACACAGTCTGGTTGAGTTCCAGACCCAGCAACTATGCATGAAATGGGATCACTTTGAGAAAAGTAACCCTGCAGTTTGAAACTATGTCAACCCACAGGAGAGGAGAAAGGGGTTTGGACGCAGGACATGTGGTACAAAACCAAGGAAAAGTCAGCAAAAGATGTTTAGATTCCATCTTCAATCACTTATTTTGCATTTTGATTAAGAATTAAAATTTATAATTTTCCTATTTAGAAGTTATTTTATTAAATAAGAAAATTATTTACACCTTTAATCCCAACACAGGAGGCAGATGCAGATCTCTTGAGTTTGAAGCTAGCCTGGTCTACAGAGTGAGTTTCAGAATAACTGGGGCTACATAGGGAACCTGGTCTTAAAAAAAAAATTTACAAACAATAATAACTTTCATACCATAAATATGTCCAAATTCATACAGTGTATAAACATGTATAATTTATGGGCTCAGCTGATAATGATGTGTCAATCAATGCAGGTTCATTAACTCTAACATATGTACCACTCTTTCATTTATTTATTTTTGTTTTTTTCCCCTTCGAGACAAGGTTTCTATGTAGCCTTGGGTCTTCTGTAACTTGTTCTGTAGACCAGGCTGGCCTTGAACTCATAAATATCTACCTGACTCTGCCTCCCAACTCCCAAGTGCTGATATTAAAGGTGCCTGGTCCAAATGCGCCACTCCTGACAGGGCCTGCTGATTATGTGGCAGGCTATACATTCATAGCAGCTGAGGGTACATGGACATTTTTAATCTTCTGCTTAATTTTCCTACAAATCTAAAACATCTCTAAAATTAAAGTCCACATACTAGACGTATGTGTATATGTAGATAAAAATATGACTAGAAAGCAATAACAAAAGATTATTATATCTTCTTGGATAATGATAAAAAGTGATTTATTATCTTCTAAAATTGAAAAAAATTCTACAATGAACTTAAGTATTTTACTTTTTATGTGTATGTGTTTTGCCTGTAACACATATGTGCCCCACCTGTGTGTTTGGTGGCCTTGGAAACCAGAAAAGGGCTTCAGATGCCCTGGAACTGGAGTTCTGGATGGCTGTGACCATCATGTGAGTGCTTGGACTTATTCACTATGTAGTTTAGATGGACCTCAAATTTGTGACAATCTTCCTGCCTCAGCTTTGGCAGTACTGGGATAACAGATATGAACTACCATTCCTGGTAAACATAAATTATTTTTGTAAAAAAAAAGAAAGTCAAGAAAGGATCATAAAATCCTAAGAAGAATCTGTTGGTAGAGACACTCCCACATTTGTTGGTGATTAGGGAGATATAATTTGGGGGAAATTAGATTGTTATTTCTGCTTTCAGTAATATTAAAAATTGCTTATATACCATAAAATATACCAGTTGAAGAAAGGGTAGAGAGGAGGCAGTTCTGAATTCTAGATGGAAGTGAGTGGTGGTAGAGACACAGGAAATATGCCTGTCTGGTACACAACAGGTTGATCAATCAGGAAGTGGCTATAATTGGTATTTATCATGCTTGTGCCATTTATTTATTTATTATTTGTATATTTATTTGAGATAGGGTATCACTGTAGCTCTGGCTGGCCTAGAACTTACTATGTATACCAGGCTGGCCTTAAACTCATAGAGACCTATCTGCCTCTGCCTCCTGAGTGCTGGGATTAAGGGTATCTGTGCATCATGTTAGGCAAATGTGTGTGTGTATGTATGGTGCTGGTGATCAAACTCTGGGCCCAGCACACCAGATAAAAGTACCCCTTTTTTTTTTTTTTTTTT